GGGGTAGGTCCAGATATACCCTCTGCCCATAGAGGGCTGGGGCAAGGGAAGGACCCAGTGCTACCTGGCTTTGGGAGCTAGGGGCACAGATGCCCCGATTTGGAAGTTAAAAGGACTTGCCAGGAAACTAGCTTGTTTTTGTGGGGAACAGACACTCCTGTGCTTGGCTGGGGTTGCTGACAGGGCAGAGGAAGCCTGTGAGCAATCCAGGGGCCTGCTGCTGGCAGAGGAAACTGTTATTCTAGGCCTTCCTCTGGTAACCAGGCACCCAGCAGTGAGGACACCAGGCTTCTTGGAACAGCCAGAGTGAGTCTGAGGCAACCAAGGCTGCATTTTGGCTGTCAGCAAATGGGCTCTTTGACAGGCTAAGCCTTCTTGGGCCCAGAAAGGGCAATAAGTGGGCCTAGAGACAGCTTGAGCCCTGCTGAGTGGCAGCTGGTGCCCGTTTTTTATATTCTTCCTGCCGGTTGATGATTTTCTCCATTCCGCAAATCCTTCATTGAGGTGGGAGTTTAGTATCGCGTGGTCTCCTCATAGCTGAAGCTCAGCTGGCCTGAGTGTCCAGGCTCTGTTCTACCTCTACATGCTCCCTGGACATTGTTAGGTAGGACATGGGGCATTCTGCCAGCAGGACCCTGACCAAAGGGATACCGCCAACCACCAACTCACATCTAGGGGGCAGCACCTGCTATATGCCTGCACTGGGCTCAGAGGGGAGGGATGGCTGGGACCTCCTGGAGATGGCAGTGTAATGGGGAAGATGACAGCACACAGTGACAAGTGATACCAGAGGCTGGGACCAGGACTCAACCATCAAGCTCTGCATCCTCCAGAATACCTGGCATGATGCTTCACAAAAAGTATAAAAGAATGCATGAATGAGAGAGTGACTATGAAAGTCCTGGTTAAGGACAAAATGAGTGAGGAAGGAGCAGTGGGAAGCACAGGAAGCATGTTCTGGAAGAAGGGGTGTTTTTAGGTCACAGAGTTAGGACTGGGGTAGATAGCGAGAGGCTAGAAGAAGAGGAAACTGAAGCTTCTCACCTTTCCCCACAAGTGCAGAGAGCAGGTAGAGGAAAAGCAGGACCAGCCTCATCTCCTCAGAGAGGAACCAGAACCTTAGTTTGTCCTCTGAAGAGTTTCTCTGTGGTTCTTTCTAAAATCAAGGGTGTACCAACCTCCTCAGAGCTAACCTTAAGGCTCTCCTGCCTGAGGCCTGGACCTGGGGCTGGGCCTGGCTGAAAACTGCAGCTTATGGTGAGAACACGTAGGGAGACACATGGTCAGCTGGGGCTCATGAGAGTTTACAGCCAGTGGAAAGAAGGATGCTGGGCTCTCTCCAAAGCATTTTTTCATTTCACAAATATTTGTTTTGAACATGCACAAAAGGTTAGTCCCATGCCAGGAGAGGCAAAGATGAGTGGAAAAATGTCCAGCCCTCAAAGAGCACATCCTCTAGGTCAGGAGGGTAATCACTTCTTTCTGTTCCCCCCTCAGAGCCCCTCAGAGTCACCCCTAAGGAGCTGAGCATGACAAGGGATGAGGCACTGCCGGACCCAGGTTCCGCACAGGGTTTCTATGAGAACTATGAACCCAAGGAGATCCTGGGCAGGTAAGGCCCAGGCCTTTCCCACGAAGTGCTGTCCTGGCCCCCAGCCAGTTCCACGGACAGGAGCAATGTCTGCTTGACCCTGAGCACTGAACCCATTTCCACCCCAAAGCACTGTCCACTTGGACAGTCCCTCGGTTTGGGTGCTGCCCTCCTGAGCCAGGACAGATAAGGGGGTCTAAGAGTACCCAGATCAGAGATCTCTCCCTGCAAAGAGCTTACCCTGATGCTGCTAACAAGCACACCCAAACCCAGCTTTGGGCCAGGGTCAGGGATCAGGGGTCAGAGGAAGCTTATGGCCTTAAGAGTGTCCAGGTTCTTTCTAAATGTGAAAGAACACTGAACTGGAAGTGAAGAGGCCTGAAACCAGGCTTGTTACTCATCAGCCCCAGGAAAATCACCCTTTCTGCACCTTTTTCATCTGACTATCCCCAAAAGTTCATAGGGAGTTTGGGGACAAGGTGGGACATCTCTGCTGTAGCCTGGACTTGGGGTTTCTCATGGGGTGGGGCTCTGGGACCATCTGTCCTCTGTACCCTCAGGGGAGTCAGCAGTGTTGTCAGGCGCTGCATCCACAAGCCCACATGCCAAGAATACGCGGTGAAGGTCATTGACATCACGGGGGGCGGCAGCTTCAGCTCCAAGGAGGTGCAGGAGCTGCGACAGGCCACGCTGAATGAAGTGGACATCCTGCGCAAGGTTTCAGGGCACCCCAACATCAGTGAGTGATGGCCCCACACCACAGCAGGGGCTCTGCCATGACTCTGCCCTGATAATCCAAGTCAGGGGGTGCATCCCCACCGTGCAGTTAGCCAGAACTGTCTAGTGTCTCCTGCACCCTGAGGTCCCTGCAGCCCAGTGCCCTGAGGCTTCAGTTTTCCAGTTCCAACCCTCAGGAAGACTGCTTCAGGGGCTCAGCTCTGTCTAAGCCTCCTCTCTCAGCCAGACCGAAGGGGTCACAGGCAGGGCTGGGGCTGGGTGTGAGGTGGGGAATGGGGTAGGAAGTTCCTGGACCTGCCCTCTCCCCTGGTGGACCTCCTTTGAGCCCATCCTGATACCCCCTCCTCTTCTGAAGTCAGCCCCAGCAACTTTAATCCCCCGGCCCCTATGCCCCTGCTGTCCCTGTGCCTGCTGCCTCTGCCCAGGATCCTCTGCTACCTGAGACAAGCCAACCATTTCCTTTTCAGTACAGCTGAAGGACACTTACGAGACCAACACTTTCTTCTTCTTGGTATTTGATCTGTAAGTACACAGCCCTGGAGGCAGCCACACCCTGGGGCCTGTGGGAGAACCTTGTTTTGAAGGCCCCCATCCAAGGCTTCCTGGGGGCCAGTATCCAGGCCCCCTCTACTGTGGATGCCAAACAAGATCACAGATGTTTAAGCAGATCAGCACCTGGGGTCAGGCTGCAGGTTTCGAAACCTGGGTCCACTACATATGGGCTGGATGATTTCTTTAAGTATCAGTTTTCTAGTCAGTATTATGGGAATAATAATAGCACAGTGACTGGCACAATGTAAATGCTACAATGATGATGATGGTGGTCATTCAATTTATTCTAGACATTGAGGATACAGCAATGAACAAGATGAGGTCCCTGACTTCATGTAATGATTTTCACAGGCTGTGACCAGCAAGCAATGAAGTCACACACACAGTTATGTATATGTACATAATGCTGACCGAGTTAGAGAGTGGTGGGGCTTCTTTTCTTTATATGAAATGGTCAGGGAAGGCTTTCCAGAGGTGATCTCCAGAAGGAAACTTCCAGCAGAGGAAGAGCCAGAGCAAGGGCCCGACTGGATGGGCTTGGCATGTTCAAGGACTGGCAAGGGCCCGGTGGGGAAATGGAGTAAGCTGGTGGTGATGACAGGATGCAAGTTCGGTCAGCATCAAAGACCTGATTCCCCAGGCATTTTACCTATGGGAAGGAGGGTGGAGATCAGAGAGTAATGAGATCTGATTCACTTTTGAAAAGGATCCTGTTGATTGATCATCATGAGGCAAGAATAGAAAGGAGGAGGCCAGAGACCCAGCAGGGAGGCAGAAGTAGTATGTCGGGTGCAATGCAAAGACAGACATCATCCTTATTCTCACGTGTCACTACTTCCCTGCTTCTGCACCAGCAGGGCTGCTGAGATGAGTTCCTGTCATAGGCACCAGTGGACCCGCCAGCTGTGAGAGTCTCTTTTCTCAAGAAAGGAAAAATGATAATGACCACTCCGCCTAACTCACCAGGCTCTGAGCATCAAATTCGAACAACACAAAGTGTTCTGTGAATGGTGCATTCAGTCACATTGCCATTTTTATTAGAAAAGTTTCCCAGGGAAAGGAATTTTCTGGCTCTTCATTCCCCCACTTCGCTGAGTCCTCACCAAAGAACAGAATCTCTGCTGTGCGAGTCTTTATTGAAGGGCTGTCTTGATTTCTCCACACGCAACAGCTCATTTAGAGGCTGAATTTACTTGAGAAAATCATCCAGGTAGCTTTTGTATTGTTGGAACATCCCATATTGTAGCCGTACTGGACATGGGGTGTTGTTTTACCTGGAGACACAATGTAACTTGGCACATGTGTACAACTGAACCACCAGCTCCAGGAAGGCAGGAGGCTGCTGTCCCTAGTGTTTCCTGGGAAATCTATTTGTTGCTGCTGCTAATAGTGAGTGCTCCCAGTGTCTTTAAAATGATAAAAGCTGGATTCACACATTGTCTTTTAGGAACACCGTACAGATATTGTATGAAACAAGGCTCACCTCTGTAAATTCTAGGTTGTCTCTTCAAACAGAACCCTGCCCGTCCCTGCCCAACAGCTAAGCTCAATGGTTTTCTTGCCTCTCTGTGACACTGGCAAAACCCCTTGTGCCCTAGGAATGCCACTTCTTTTCCCTGGAGGGGCAGATGAGAGGGGGCAGGAGGCATCTTTCCTATTTAATTTAACCAAGGGAAACTTTCCCAGGGCCCCGCCAGACTTGACCACTGCAGCTGTCTTGACTCCACTCAGTGGCACTGTCCCTGGAGAGCCCTTGAGGCAGCTCAAATGTCTCTAACCTTTGAAGAAGTTGCATGGGGAAGCTATTTTTAGGGCCGCCCTAAGTTGTCCTCCAGATCATAACTAGATTGCTTTAACAGATACCTCTTTATAGATCATCCCAAGAAGTGAGAAGATTGATCCACAATTCTTAATCCTAAAATAGGCAAAGCTGCCCCTTCAACACTTGTGCTGCTGTTTATTACATTTGCTCCTGGGAAAGTTCAAGATACCCTTGTCCTTCTGACTGGGACCTTGGGCCAGTCTCACCTCCCAGCCCTGATTTTGGCCCTGATAGATCCCAGTCCATGCTGTCACGTCCACAGATGGGGACGGGGGGGGGGACCTTTACACTGGTACCATGCCACCCCTCCAGGCTCCGTTGCTCTTCCAATATTCCCATACAACCTCTCTGCTCACTCCCCCAACTCTTCCCCACAGACCCTGGATCTTTTGGGGACTGGCCCACTTTGCCTCTGGAGGTATTAGGGTGAGATAACAGCTCTATGGGAGTAGGGTAAGTTACAAACCCTCTGTCCCCACAGGATGAAGAGAGGGGAGCTCTTTGATTACCTCACTGAGAAGGTCACCCTGAGTGAGAAGGAAACCAGGTGAAGGTCCATCTGCCCTTTTCCCCACTCCCTGCCTGAGTCCTGGTGCTGCAGTCACCCAGGTCTCGGGCAGGTGTGTGTGTGTGTGTGTGTGTGCGCCCACTTGTCTGGGCTGGGCTTGTGCACCACTGGCTTTCGTGGTCTCCCTCCACCCTTGGCTCAACCTAGACCAGGGGTTGGCAAACTTTTGAGACGGAAGAGCTGCCAGGGGTCAGCAAACTGCAGCTCGCGAGCCTCTGAAGTAAAATTGAAAATGAAAATAAAGCTATCATAATTTCTAAAATTTATAAAATTTTTAAAGGATATTATTCACATAATGGTGATTATTTAAAAACATAGATATGGCTCTTGAATAATTTTTAAATTGTTGTGAGGGACAGGATTGGCTCTTCCAGGGGTCGGCAAACTTTTGAGACGGAACGTACCCATAGAGCCNTTGACTAGATCCAAGAGAAGGGAAACTAACAGAACTGAAGTTCTGTTGATCCCTTCCTAGTTTTCACATCCTTCAATTCATACTGCGTGTGCGCTGTCTCAAAAAATAATCCAAATAAGCAACTTAATACTGAGAATGATTAAGTAACTTGCGCTAGGTCCAATGGTAATCACGCCGGAGATCTGACTCTCCTGGTTGCATCTGACCTATCATGTTAACACAAATGTTTGAAGGAAGCAGCGACGATCCTTGTGCCCTAGGAAGCACACTGTTAGTAGTTCTGCGGCCTACAAGGTTTGCCGGGAAACTGCAGGAATTTCCGGTTTTCGAAACAGCCCGGGCGTCCAGCTCCTGTCACTAACTGCGTACGACGAGGTGCCGCCGTGTCATCCTGCTATTCCCCTGACCTTCAGAGCCCACGGAGACGTCGGACAACGGAAGGCCTTTGGTTGTGCGCTGATTGGTTGCGCGCGGAGGCCTGCCCCGCCCCCTGTCTTCCGCTCTCCTGTTCAGCAGAAGCTGCTGGGTTCTCCACCGAATCTCTACCTTGTGGATTTGGAGCCATCGTCCAGTTGCGATGCCGCGTGGAAGCCGAAGCCGGACCTCCCGCATGGCCCCTCCGGCCAGGTGAGGCCACCGCGGGGTTTGGGGCCCTGCCGGCGCCGTGACGCAGGGAGTCTGCGCTAGGCCTCTGCGCGGCGGGGCGTAAGCTGGGAGAGGCCGCGCAGACTAGGACGTCTGAAGGCCGATAAGGCTTGGACCCTTCTCCGCCCGTCGCAAGGGCTTTTTGTAAATGGGCCTTAGCTAGATTTCCTGTTAGTGTCAAACTTTATAATTTCGAATGTCCATGAATTATTGCTTATAATACCTCATAGCTCATTTTAAGTTACAACAGTCAAGTTGTAAAAAGAAGTGGACGTTTGTAAGCGTAAACCGGCTGAAACGTCAAAAGTAGTAAAGAAAATGTAGAAGGGTAATATAATCGGGAAAATGATCGAATTTCAATTTAGTTAATAATCTTTGAGCACCTGCCATGAGCAGTGAGTGTTCCAGGGGCTGGGCGTAGTAGGGAACACGGTCACTTAAGGCCCTCACGTGTACATGACATTTTCTAGTTAATGAAGTACTTTTAAAAAGTACTGACAGTTGCCTCATGATAACCCTAGAGATTGATGTTATTGCTATTTTTACAGAAATAAGGAAATTGGAGACTCAGAATAAGTGTCTCGTCTAAAAGGTCTTGCCCCCAGTGAGTAGGAAAGCCAGATCTCAGACACTAGTTTTTAGATGACCACCAATTCAGGACATTTAGCACAGTACCACGTTGCTTCTGTGGACTAAGGTGGATTGTGTTTATTGTGCTAGCAGTGTAGGGAAGGGGTTCACTTACGGAAAGAAACTTCTATCCAAAGGACAGCAAACCACATTTTTATAAAGTTATGCCAGGTGCTACCTGATAGGAAGTGAAGTCATAAACTTTTGACCAGCCTTATTTGGGTGAGGAGCACCCAAGCAAACAATCTAAAAAATAGGCAGAGGGAGCATAATATAGGTGAAGATTTTTAAAGCAGTACTGGACATAGTGAAATTGTCGAAAGCATCCAAATGTCCTACAGCTGGGAAAGAGTTGAAATTAATTTTGGTATAACAGGCAAGACACTTCCTTCCAGTTACTGGTCTTCAGTGTTCCATCTGTAAAATGAAGGAATTTGACTAGATTGTTTCTCCAGATGACTATCTGCAGTCCTTCATTCAGATGTTACCAGCTCAGGGAGACTTCCCTTAACTATCCTAAAATTGTGACATCCCACAACATGCTCTCCTTCTCTTGATATTTTTTTCCTTAACACTTAATACCATGTGGAGAATTCTATAAGGATATTTTTACCTTTTAATAGTTGACAATTTTTATGAAGCATTGGAATAACTGTTCTTTAAAGATACTGTGGGCTATGTGAATACATGGAAATGGTTGCAAAAAAGCAGGAAAAAATAGTTTATACTTGGTGATTACAACCTTAACAAAAGGTTAAAGAGATAATGATGTAATAAAATAGTTCAGGGAAATTGTGTTCTGTAAAGTTTTCTTGTATGTATATAGTATTTGTGTTTAATAATTTAAAATGGAAATCCTGGGGTTTATTGTAATATACAAGGGTTTTTTTTTGTTTTTTAGCTGAGCCATCCTGTCATCAGTTGGCAGCTCAGCCCGGGCCGGGAATCTAACCGGCAACCCTGTTGCTCAGAGCTTGCACTGTTGAGCAAGCTCTTAACCAACTGAGCCACTCGGCCGGCCCTTATGCAAGTTTTTTTAAGTTGACAATTTCCAGACCTAGCTGGAAGTGGGAACTTCATACTTTTTGTTCTTCTCTTTCACAGCCGGGCACCTCAGATGAGACCTGTGCCCAGGCCAGGACCAGCAACTCAGCCGCCAGCAGCAGCTCCACCATCTGCTGTTGGCTCACCTGCTCCGGCACCCCGGCAGCCAGGTCTGATGGCCCAGATGGCAACCACTGCGGCTGGTGTGGCTGTGGGCTCTGCTGTTGGCCACACATTAAGTCATGCCATCACTGGGGGCTTCAGTGGAGGAAGTAATGCTGAGCCTGCAAGGCCTGACATCACTTACCAGGTAAGATTTTGGGCAGCGTTTCCCTTCAGTGGTGTATTTTATGAGAAAACCTAGTTATTTGTAAGCCCCTTATGTGTAAGAACTGTCTGTAATTTTAGAATCTACAGTGCTGTTAACAGAAAATGTTTTATCAAAAGCCACATTTGGCAGTTGAGTTAGTACCTTTTGCCAGCATCAACAAGGACTGTACAAATGGTATTTCTTCCCAAGGAGTAGAATTGTAGTAGTTTAACCTGATTCAACCTGTAAAACAGCCATTTTCCCTTTATTTTAAATATTTTGTCTAATTCAGTCTCAATCTAGTTAAGTATTCAAAAAATCTGTTTACTAGCTTTTTGCTCTCTGATTTCTTACCTGACATTTCTCACTGCCCCTCTTTCTGAGGTATGTGAATTTTCTCCTCTGATGAACGTGGGTGTGTATTTTGTTGCATTTCTGGTGTACTTGAAACTCAGATCCATCCATTTTTCTATAATAATCCCATTTTTTTCCTCCATGAAACTTCACTGAATCACTGGTTTTAAATGCCCCGGTAACCATTTCACTTTATTTGGATCTTTGTTCTTGAATCTTTCTGATCATAACTAGAATTGTTAAAGCTCATTTTCTGCCGTGAAAAATTTTCACTTATTAGATGGGAACTTTAATTTACATCTGGGTTTAGCTCTCTTTCCCCGGTTAACCTCAAAGACAGTGGATACTGCTCTTTGTTCAGGTATAAATCTGCTTTCCTGATCTTGAATAATATTGTATGTCAACTATAATTATATATACATATAGTCACGGGACATGGAGTAGANCCCTGCCCAACAGCTAAGCTCAATGGTTTTCTTGCCTCTCTGTGACACTGGCAAAACCCCTTGTGCCCTAGGAATGCCACTTCTTTTCCCTGGAGGGGCAGATGAGAGGGGGCAGGAGGCATCTTTCCTATTTAATTTAACCAAGGGAAACTTTCCCAGGGCCCCGCCAGACTTGACCACTGCAGCTGTCTTGACTCCACTCAGTGGCACTGTCCCTGGAGAGCCCTTGAGGCAGCTCAAATGTCTCTAACCTTTGAAGAAGTTGCATGGGGAAGCTATTTTTAGGGCCGCCCTAAGTTGTCCTCCAGATCATAACTAGATTGCTTTAACAGATACCTCTTTATAGATCATCCCAAGAAGTGAGAAGATTGATCCACAATTCTTAATCCTAAAATAGGCAAAGCTGCCCCTTCAACACTTGTGCTGCTGTTTATTACATTTGCTCCTGGGAAAGTTCAAGATACCCTTGTCCTTCTGACTGGGACCTTGGGCCAGTCTCACCTCCCAGCCCTGATTTTGGCCCTGATAGATCCCAGTCCATGCTGTCACGTCCACAGATGGGGACGGGGGGGACCTTTACACTGGTACCATGCCACCCCTCCAGGCTCCGTTGCTCTTCCAATATTCCCATACAACCTCTCTGCTCACTCCCCCAACTCTTCCCCACAGACCCTGGATCTTTTGGGGACTGACCCACTTTGCCTCTGGAGGTATTAGGGTGAGATAACAGCTCTATGGGAGTAGGGTAAGTTACAAACCCTCTGTCCCCACAGGATGAAGAGAGGGGAGCTCTTTGATTACCTCACTGAGAAGGTCACCCTGAGTGAGAAGGAAACCAGGTGAAGGTCCATCTGCCCTTTTCCCCACTCCCTGCCTGAGTCCTGGTGCTGCAGTCACCCAGGTCTCGGGCAGGTGTGTGTGTGTGTGTGTGTGTGTGTGCGCCCACTTGTCTGGGCTGGGCTTGTGCACCACTGGCTTTCGTGGTCTCCCTCCACCCTTGGCTCAACCTAGACCAGGGGTTGGCAAACTTTTGAGACGGAAGAGCTGCCAGGGGTCAGCAAACTGCAGCTCGCGAGCCTCTGAAGTAAAATTGAAAATGAAAATAAAGCTATCATAATTTCTAAAATTTATAAAATTTTTAAAGGATATTATTCACATAATGGTGATTATTTAAAAACATAGATATGGCTCTTGAATAATTTTTAAATTGTTGTGAGGGACAGGATTGGCTCTTCCAGGGGTCGGCAAACTTTTGAGACGGAACGTACCCATAGAGCCACATGTGGCTCGCGAGCCGCAATTTACCGACCCCTGGCCTACACTGTCCCAGCCTGTCCAAAGCCCTTTCTTACTTGCAGTCTGGCTAGTATGTGGGCTTCGGTCTCCCTGCCTGCTACCTGACCCTACAGAGTAGGAGACAAGAATAACATGTACCCGTCCCACCCCAGAAAAATCATGAGAGCCCTGCTGGAGGTGATCTGTACCTTGCACAAACTCAACATCGTGCATCGCGATCTGAAGCCTGAGAACATCCTCTTAGACGATGACATGAACATCAAGCTCACAGACTTTGGTTTCTCTTACCAGCTGGAGCCAGGACAGAAGCTGCGAGGTCCGGTAACGGGGCCTTGGCAAATGTCAGGGACTCAGGCTTTCTCATCAACTCTCCCAGGAACAGAGATTGCCTGAGCTTCTCCCCTATTTTTCCCCCCAGAATAAAAATTTGATCATTTCATGGCTAGGTGTCTTTTCAGTAGGCCCTCTTCCCAGGACTGAGCTGAGCCAGGTTCCCACTGCCTGAGTTCTAGGCCAGGATGGCCAGACGTGCCCAGGGAACAAACAGGCCCCAAGTGGGTGGCCCCATGAGCCAGCACCTGGCCCCTGCCTTTGGCCCTGAAGTTGGCCTGTGTTAGGAGAGTCCCAGCCCAAACACCATTTTGGTTACATCTGGATTGCTTTTTTGGACCTTCTTATTCCAAGTTCCCCCTGCTGACCTATCCTGATGGAAACTATTCCTGCAGAGGTCTGTGGGACCCCCAGTTACCTGGCTCCTGAGATCATTGAGTGCTCCATGAACGATGACCACCCAGGCTATGGGAAGGAGGTGGACATGTGAGTGTGCTGGGGGAAGAAGGTGACAACTCATCGGGACAGGGATGCCACCATGGCCGGGAACACCTGAGTGGGGAGGGGAAGAATAGGTAAGAGCTACAGCCAGTCCTCCTGCTTTCCTCCCGCCCACCGGGTGCCAGGTGGAGCACAGGGGTCATCATGTACACCCTGCTGGCTGGCTCTCCCCCCTTCTGGCACCGGAAGCAGATGCTCATGCTGAGGATGATCATGAGTGGCAACTACCAGTTTGGCTCACCCGAATGGGATGATTACTCGGACACCGTGAAAGACTTGGTGAGGGGCCAGGTCTGCTGGTTCCCCGGCTCAGGCAAGGGGAAAAGCCTGCCGTGGGGGGGAGGGAAATATTCCATGCCACTGGATGGAGGGGTCTGCTAGGAGAGACCCCATGTCTTCTGAAATGCTGGAGGGGACCCTGTCATGCTGTTTTCAGTCCACCTCCCCCCTTGTCGTCTCAGGTTTCCCGCTTCTTGGTGGTGAATCCCCAGGGCCGTTGTTCAGCAGAAGAGGCCTTAGCACATCCCTTCTTCCAGCAGTATGTTGTGGAAGAAGTCCGTCACTTCAGCCCTCGGGGGAAGTTTAAGGTAAGAAGTTCCCTTCCCACCTAGGGCCCTGGGGCAGTTGCTGCTGCCTCCTCAAGTCCAAGCCCCCAAGTCCCCTTCCTTCTCCCCCAAGGACTACTACTTACACCACCAGGGTTTCCAGGTACTTCCCCTTCCCTCCCAACCCCCCATGATGGTTCAGTCCAAATTCTCCTGGCTTCGGGGAAGACAGATGTCACCTGACTGGCTCTGACAGTCTAAATCCCTGCAGATGCTGCTGGGGCGGGAATGGGAGGAACACTGGGAAGGGCTCTGCAGAAGCCATGCAAGGCTTCATGGCAAAGGAGTTCAGGGCGTCCCTGCACTGGACGGGGAGACAGAGGTCCCACCCCCTGCAGGTGATCGCTCTGACAGTGCTGGCTTCAGTGCGGATCTACTACCAGTACCATAGGGTGAAGCCTGTGACCCGTGAGATCGTCATTCGTGACCCCTATGCCCTCCGGCCTCTGCGCCGACTCATTGATGCCTATGCTTTCCGAATCTATGGCCACTGGGTGAAGAAGGGGCAGCAGCAGAACCGGGCGGCCCTCTTTGAGAACACACCCAAGGCTGTGTTCCTCTCCCTGGTGGAGGAAGACTACTGAAGGGCTAGCAGGTGGGATGGGGGAGCAGGAACAGTTAGGGAGGGGGAGCCACAGAAATATTAGCCAAGAGTGAGGTTGTGTGCTGGTCCAGGGGGGCCCATTGTCCTGCTAGGAACCCTGAAACGGGGCCACTGTCCTTCTCAGACGCTCTGCATAGGAAGATCAGGGCACTCCCATCACACAGTGGTAAGTGCAGTCGGGGCCAGGTCCATAGAGGGGGCTAGGTGTGACCCCACTATTGGGAGCCTTCCTGCTTTTCCCCTTCCCAGTTGTGCCACCATCTCAGTTTGTCCTCATGGATGCCCAGAGTTACTGACACTTGTACGTACTTCCCGTAGGGTCTCAGGGTGAGGATGACAGACAACAGTCAGATATACAATCAGCAGATTTTTCTGACGTCACTATGTCCAGTGACGCCCAGGAGCAGGTTCCTCTCAGGGGGACATATTTTTAGAGGCATGTGAAAGCCCTGACATAATCAACAATACAAAGAGAAACTTCTGATATCTGTCTTTCTGGAGTATTATTTATTTTGTGAGTCCCAGATGCAGTTTCGCCGGGCAAATATTCGATTCTCCTAGATCCTTTGAAACTGATATTGTGCTTTAATGAGCCCACACTGCTACATTTTACATACAGAAAGTGGAAATTAGTTTCCTTCAGAGGCACATGAAACACTATAAATGAGGCAAACGAACGAAGGGTTTTCTTTCTACAGCAATTTGCTGGGAAAACCAAGAGAACCAGGGAAATTCTGCCTTGAAAAAACAATGTCAGATCCCTGAGTCAGACACCGAGTAAGGGGGAGGGAACAGATTTAAAATCTTTTACCACAGGATGGCTCAGCTAAAAAAAAATAAAATAAAGGAAATAAAATCTTTTACCAAACTGCCTTTCAGAGTACTGTGCCCCAATTATCTGAGTACTTGGCCCCTATTGGGTTAGTTGGCCCCTCAGAGAAACACCCAGCTCCCAGCCACTATTAGTAAGTTGGGGCACTTCCCCAAGAGACAGTGGCACCCCTCCTCTGTGGTCAGAGGCCTCACTTGTCCTGGTGAGAGGTGCCTGTCACAGAGGGCTGGAGGAAGGGGAAGGAGGTCACTCCTGAAGCTGAAGTTGAAGAGCCTGGAGTTTGGCTGTGTTTGGAATGTCACCAGTGAGTGGCATGGGTACCATAGAGGACTCTTCTCCTTGGCTCTACATGGCTGCTCAAGCTCCCCAGGCAGTCGACCTACACCGGAAGCACAGCGGAAGCCCGGGTTGTCTGAGGCTGAATCTGGAGTGTTGCCCATTCTGCCGCCAGAGAAGGGGAGAGAGAATGAACATTTGTTGAGAAAGGGGTCTGGGGCCTTACCCAACTTTCCTGCTCCACCTCCCAGGGCCTGCTGTGGTCTGGGGAACCTGAAGACTGGGGTGGGATGGTCTGGAAGGAAGCCTGGTATGAGGGAACACCTGGAGATATGGGACAGGGTGAAGGAAGTGAGAGTGGTTCTGAGACTGCACTGGAAAACAGGGAAAGCTACGACTAACAGCTTTGACTGTTGGTAGTTTAGAATAACGCAGATAAAAAAAGCCTGTCAACAAGAGGTAAGACTCTCATGGTGCCGCTGACCATCTGTGTGAAAGGAGCCGGTCCGAGGACTTCCCTGAGCCTATCTTGTCCTTAACTGTAAGACCAAATGGTTGTAGAAAATGAGTTTTCATGTGCCCACCATGACCCATGGCCATGAGCTATTGATATGGCCACCCCACTTCCCCCCTCTGCACACCTAGTCATGAGGACGTGAGGAGACACCCATATAAGTAAGATGCTGGGCACAAAGTCTCCCTTGGTGCTGAGAGCTGACAAGAAAAGGCACAAGTTGTCCTGGACTCTTGTTTTTCACAGCAAGTACTGCTGGCATTTTTTTCGGTGCCCACAACCCCGGTGGCGGTAGAGGTGCAGAAGCAGTGCCAACACTGGTCCTGGTGCTACTTGCTCTGCAAGGCCAGGACCGAGACCCTCAGCCCCCAGCTCCCACGCCCCTCACCTGGTGGTGATGCGGGCCCGGTGATTGGCAGAGCCATCAGATCTGTCGATCCAGGATGCCCCCGGGAGGACACGCATGTCCTGACCAGCACCCTGGTATGGGGAAGCTGTCCACTCCCACACGTTGCCCACGAGGTCATAGAGCCCTGCGGCACAGCAGGTAGGTCAGTCCCAGCTGGGAAGCACCACACCCCCTCCCAGCCATCAGAGCCAGGGAGCAAATGCTTTCCCTGGGGTGCCTCTCTCTGCCTCATCTGTCAGACAGAATGATCCTGCCAATCAATTTGTGAATGTTGACAGCAACCTGATGGGAAATGGCAAATGAGCAGATGTTTTTAAAAAATCTGTTGGTGTATGTGTAATTCACATATAGTAAAATTCACTCTTTTTAGTGTATATTTTTGTGAGTTTTGACAAAGCTTATAGTCACTATTATAATCAAGAAATAGAGCAGTTCTCTCAAACACCACCCAAAATTCCCTTGTACCCTGGCAAATGCTGATCTGTTTCTTGTCCCTATAGTTTTGCCTTTCCCAGAATATAAACTCACATAAGTTGAATCATACAGTATGAAGTTTTTGGATCTGGCTTCTTTCATTTAGCATAATGCTTCTGAGATTCATCCAAGTTGTTGAAGGTATCCATAGTTTGTTCCTTTTTATTACTGAGTAGTATTTCATGGTATAGATATATCATATTTTGTTTATTCATTCACCAATTGCAGGTCATTTGTATTATCTCAAGTTTTTAGAGATTATGAATAAAGCAGCTGAGAAGATTTAAGGGTGGGAAGTGGGTCTCTTTTCTGAAAGGTCTTTCTTACATACCTAATTTCACAGCAATCATGGGAGGGAGGCAGAACAGATGTTATTATCTCCATATAACAGATGAAAGAAACTGAGTCAAACAGAAATGAGTTGCTGAGATTTTAGAATAGGTTTTCATATAGTTTGGTATGGCTGGGCAAGTTTCAGCAGATTGCTGGGGTAAGATGGATTGTTTTCACTGGGCTAATAGTGCCCCATCTGGGCCAGCCTTTTGATATAAGACATTGTTCACCTATCAAAGGGACATTGAGAATGGAGTTGACCTGATTGGTAGCAATAGCTCTTTACCAGCCTCAAAGCACCTGAAGAGTTTAAGAATCTTTTACCAGAGAGGCAGAGACAAATTATGGGTTCTAAGAAACATTTAGGGGCTTGCTAGATGTGACATTATATTTCTAGTATATAATAGGTCATAATGTGAAATAGACAAGAACGCATACTGTGCATCTATCTACCTACCTATTTCAGTTTGTCATGATATGGTACAAGTCTGATCAGAAGTGATTTCTCCATCAATTTAAAAAAATTTCCTTTTAAAAAATACTCTTTGAAAGCATATATAAGGAGTACAAATGGAATTGTAGAAAAATGAGAAAATACAGGTAGGTAAAAAGAAAAAAATTAAAATCATCCATTATCACACCAGCTAACATATATCATTCCATATTCTCCCCACCTGCTGTCCCCTCTCCTGGCCATTTAACAAGGTGGTTCCCTGGAGTTGACTTCCCTGGAAGTCAACCAAAACATGGGAAAAATCTGTCAACCAATGAAATTTGCACTTCCAGCTCTTTTTAAATGCATATACATTCTACATACATAGTTTTTAAAAGTGGGATCATACCCTAAATATTGTTTTTTGTAAGCTAACTTTTTCACTTAACATCTCATAACTATCTCTTTTTGACAACAGAATTTTAAATGACTGCTAAGTAGTCTGTTATATTGATATAATATGTTTAAGTGATCTTTAAATCGTTAATAGCTGTTTATAACATCAGCTTTTTAGCTAAATGTTTTTGGACAACCTTAATTCCTTTAAGATAAATCCCTAGAGGCAGAATCACTGAGGCAGAGGACCTGAGGAGTACACCGCCAATCCTTATGCTTACTTCAGTATGTGTCTCCTGAATCGATTTTCCCTCACAACCTTTTATCTTGAAAAGTTTTATGTCCACAAATATAGCATTTAAGTCATTTTCACATTTGCCTTATAGTCTTCCTGTTCCTTCCCCTTCCTATGTATTCCCCCCTGTAGCATTTGAAGTTATAAAATGTATCACCTTGAGGAAACTAAGGCAGTTCAGCTTGTCTTCTTAGATTGAACTGGAACCACAATGTTTGATTCCCAAAACAATGCCATTTCCCTAAGTAAATATAAAGGGAATTTAAGGTACTCTCAGTGAGTCTGACCCTCCTCCCCAGCTGAAGAGGTCACTGTTGAGTGTTTCACTTTTGTCCATATTTCTTAATCCTGTGCCCAGTGTAACGGAAAATCCACTGGCTCAACAGTCAGGGAATTTGAGTTCCAGGCCCAGGTCTGCCACTAACAGACAGCAAGGTAAACCTCTCTGGACTTCAAATTTTTCATTTGAAAAATATAGATAACACTTATTCCACAGTACTACTGCAAAGATGACATGTAATAGTGAATAAGCTAAGTTTCCTTTTAGGTGTTAAGAAAGATTAGAAAGAGCCTTTACTCCTCCTGGAAGAACACTAGAGGTACCTGAAATCTTTGTTGGTGACAGGAAATATGTCGATGGCAAAGGGTTTTACTGTCACCTCCCGGATAGGCCCTTCACCATCTCTGCTGTCTGGTGAATTTGTTCCCATCTGGAATCTCCCACCTGGTAGCTGAACCATGCTAGTCACCTGCCCATTCCCTGCAGAGAAAAAAAGAGTCATCAGTATATACAACAAATGGCAATATTTGGATCATATTTGGATCAAATATTCATAAAATAAAAATGGAGGCTTAAAAATTCAGCTTTCAATTCTTGTCCTGTCACTTAATTTGCTGGGTGACCTTAAGCAAATTACTTAACCGGAGGTTCAATTTCTTCGTCTATAAAATGTGAATAGCATCTATCTCACAGGCATAGCTGCATGAATTAAAATAACATGTGAGATGGTGAGCATATGGTAGGTTTTCAACAAATATTTCTTTTCCTTACCTCTCTATTCCTCTACACAATCCTTTGTTCCAGGTAGGTAAATCTAGACTCTATAGCCTCGAATAAATCTAGCACCTTTCTCCCCACACTTACATTCATGCTGTGTCTCTGCCTGTTCCTTATCAATTTCAAATGATTTTCACCATTGTATCATATGCTCCAGAAAGCAAAGGACATCAATTTGCTGGTGTATCCCTAGCACAAGTGTACAATAATTGTCATTAAATAATTGAATGAGCGCCTTCATACTTGCTGTTTGAATGCCTCAAGAAATCATAGAATTTAAAGGATCTTTAACTTAATCCTCTATTTAACAGAAGAAAACCATGACCCCGAAAGAAAAATGACTTCAAGAGCTAGTTAGCAGGAGACAGGATTAGATCCAGGTCCTCTCTACTACCATACCAGTGCTATTTCCTGCAGGCCATACTACTGTGTGGCTTGATGTACTACTTTATGGTCTTGTTTCTATATAAGGATGTTTAAGATCCATAAATTCCTCAAAGGCAGAGTTCATGTCTTCACGTTCCTCAGAAGTCCTATCTTTGGCCCTCTTATTCTCATTCTGAACACTCACACTGAGGATTTCATTCACTTCAAGGGGAAAAAAATGGAGCAAGCAGGGAAATCTCAGAATAAAAGGGAATTAAGAAACAACATAACAATTCCAATGTATAAAGTTTATTTTCATACTAAATCAACAAGTAAACTATAACGAAAAAACACTTATAGATGAATTTGAACACTAACTGGATGTTAATTTTGTAGGTGAAAAATGGTGTTTTTTTGTGTGTGACTTCTTGTCTCTTTGGCTATTCAAGCTAAATATTTATAAACAAAACCGTATGCCTGGATTCACTTCACTATGGCCCTAGGGAAGGGGAAAGTGGGAGGGATACCAAAGCAAGATTAACCATAAATTGGCAACTGTTTAAGCTGGGCAACAGGTACACAGGGGGTTGGGTAGAGGGGCTTGGCTTGTTATATATATATATATATATATATATATATATATATATATATATATTTTTAATGTATTTTTCAATTACAGTTGACTGGGGTTATCACTTTGTTAAGTATATAAATGTCTGACTCTGTTGTTTTGCACACCTGAAAATAAACTTAGTTCGAGATTCCAAAATGAGTTAAAAGTAAAAAGGGAGTGAGATATGGTATGAGCGGTTAACCACCTCCTCAGTTGGCTGCCTCTGGGAGGTGCCTCTGGCTGCTCCAGGCCCCATCAGGAGCCCCACCAGAAAGCAAACAGGCCTCGCTCTCCCCTACCAGGGTGGAGTGCCCCACACCTTTTCTGATGCTTCTTGGGACAAACGGCACCAGGGGAAGTCCAGCAGGCCAATACACTAACCTAGCTTGATCCACGGGACAGACAGGAGTGACAGCAGTGGCAGCGAGGGGACCATACCAGGAACGCAAGCTACAGCAGCACCAGTACCACACTGTGGCAGATCTACTGCGCATGCTCTATACAGTCAGCTACCGCCCCCTGGCGCAGCCTCTAGATCAGCGGTTCTCAACCTGTGGGTTGCGACCCCTTTGGGGGTCGAACGACCCTTTCACAGGGGTCGCCTAAGACCATCGGAAAACATATTTTCGATGGTCTTGGGAACCGAGACACCGCTCCTCTATTGTCTCCTGGCAGGTCCGCCCACATGCAGATACGCCCACATACAAGTACCGGGCGTGTGACATCATTGCGCCAACCCCATCACATATACCCCATACAAATACAGGTGTATGTGACAGGGTTGGCGCCATAATGTACTTATGCAGACCAGTCACACATTTAGAGAGCAGCTGTGTAGAAAGCAGCTGCTGTGTTGAAAGCAGCAGTATTGAAGGTTAAACGACACTTCATGAATTATATTTCACTATAATTACATTTTGCAATTATAATCACTATGCTTTATGTTCAATTTGTAACAATAAAATACATCCTGCATATCAGATTTACATTACGATTCATAACTAGCAAAATTGAGTAGCAACGAAAATAATTTTATGGTTGGGGGGATCACCACATGAGAAACTATATTAAGGGGTTGCGACATTAGGAAGGTTGAGACCCACTGCTCTAGATGCTATCAACTGAGAGGCGTCACTAGTCCAGAGGGCGAGTAGGCTGGGACCTGAATTTTAAGGCTGTGGAGTCAGGTAATTAAGAATATACCCCCAAAATCTGAAAACATTTATCTGTAAAGATATTATGTACCTCGATTTCATTGCAGCATTATTCACGGTGGCCAAGACATGGAAACAATCAGTGTCCTTTGACTAATGAACATGTAGTACATATACACAATGAAATACTATTCTGCCGTAAGATGAAATAGCACCATTTGTGACAAAATGGATCTTGAGGTTATGCTATGCGAAATATGTCAGAAAAAGTTGAGAACCACTATTTCACTGATACACATATAAAACTGAAAGCAACAAAGGAACAAGACAAAAACTCAGACACAGACAAGTTTGGTGGTTACCAGAGGGTAAGGGGGAGGGGAGTGGTAGATAAGGGTAAATGAGGTAAAATATATGATGGAAGAACTGACTCTGGATGGTGAACACACAATGTGATATACAGATGATGTAATACAGAATTGTGCACTTGAAACCTATGTAATTTTACAAACCATGGTCACCCAAATTAAAAAAAAAAAGAAAAAAAAAAAAAAGGCAGTTTTCTCAGGGTTAGTGTTTAGAGGCCCTGGCATTCCAGAAGCCCCTTCATTACCTTGTGAACATTTAGACTAACTTCCTACCCTTGGAATACCATTGCAAGATCACAGAAAAGGTTTCAAGTTAACATTTATTGCATTCATTGTAGGCAACTGCCAAGTCCTCAAAATACAAAGCTTAGTAACACAATTTCACCTTCAAGGACTGCAGAGATGTACTAACTGTACAAAAACAATTTTGTGGAAACAAGTAGGAGAGAATAATTTGAGAAAGATGATCCTGGAGGTTTTGGGACGGACATTTCAGCATAAGCAAAAGTTCAGAGGTGTGAAAATGGGGCCCATCTGAACATCTGTTTTACCTCACATAGCCCTTAGTCACTGTGGATTCAGCCCTCTTTCTAACTCTGCCTCCTCTATTTCTATTTTTGCCACTTTATACTTTTAGCTCTTTCAACTCCCTCGCCTCTAGTTCACCCATGTTTCTATCTAGTACCACTTAACTTCGCTGGGGAGCATTTTATGCAAATCTACTTCAAAAGCCCAATGGAAAGATCCAATAGTTTTTTTACTCACAGGAATTTATAGTAAGAAAACAGGGATGTTTTCAAAACCTTAAGGTATTTAAGTGTTACTTATATTATTATAAAAATTTTAAGCTTAAATACTTAATAGGAAATTATTGGATAAATTAAGATACATTAGAAAAAACTGTTAAACCATTAAAATTTGTTTTTCAAGGAATATTTAATAAGGTAGGTAACATACTTTTCTAACATATATTTTTATCACTGAAGCTAAAGCAAAACATCCTGTTTATTGGATGAAAACAGCCTGCTTTATGTGTGTACACTGAGTGCAATTAAAAAAAATGCTGTAATTATAATTTCAGACTTTGAAATTTGAATAGGCGCCAGTGTTCTCTCCTTTTTTCACATAGAAAAGAAAATTCCTCTGAAAATTATTTGAAGCTTAGACAAAAATTCCACAGCTGGATTCTTAGGGTCACTCTTAAGACTCTTCACGATGATACAAAGGAGGCTTCAATTCAACCTTTGAGAGAAGACATTCCAGCTCGCATGATCTCATCTACCAGGAGAATGTTGGTAGCAATCACAGTGCTGAAAGGGGAGGAAAAAAATCAGATGGCTCAGATTTCAGATATGAACCCGAATTCAACTCAATTTCCAACTAAACCGTGCAAATTAAATCCAATTAAGTTTCCCTTTTCCTATATATTTTTTAAATGGAAAAATAGAAATTAAACAGAACACACCAAATTAAAAAATATGATGATTAAAGATTATTTTAGTTTTGGCTTTCTTAAACTTACCAGGAGTGAAGAAGCTGTTTCTTTACACAATAGTTATCCCATATGCCTGCTTGTGCTGCCACCATTGGCTCACCTGAAAGGTAATCCAGTAGTCTTAAAATCATATAGAGCAGGTTGTAAGATTAGAATGTTGTCTCTAAAAGAACCAACAGTATTTTGTGCTGCTTTGCTTATCACTGATTACTCTCATTTCCTCTAGTATTAACTATGAAAACCCAAAGCTCCCCATTTAGTCAGTTTTGTACTCCAAACCATGACTTCCGTGAGCAGTACCTTTGATGAGTGACTGATCTTCACTTAGAAGATCCACTGCTCTATTGGTTACCAATGTTTGAACAGCTTTTGTTCTGGGCACAGTCCCAATTTGTCCATATTAAAGTACTGCACTCCAAACTATCATCTGGCCAAAATGGGCTTATCATTTTTCTCATTCCCAAAACCTTTTCTATTAACTTCAATGTAAATAATGCTGTTGACAACAGGTCTTAACACATATTGTATGGATTTATCTCTCTTCCACTTTGTACTTACATAATTTGTGTTGTTACATTGGCCCAAGACTAGGGCTTTAAATTTCATTATACTTGGTTCCCTCTTTCAGCATTATTTGCAATCCTCAGTCTTTTTAAACTAGTGAACATGATCTAATATATTTTCTTATCAAAGTCCCTGATAAAAAATGGAGTGAAGTAATCCTAATACGAACCCTTTCAATATTAACCTGAACCATCTACCACCACTCGGCAACATCAACAAACCCATACTCTCCGAAATTATTCAAATGCATACTCTATTCCCTTAATTACTGTATCTAGTCATTCCATTTTTATTTCAGAACCCAGAGTTCCCTGATAAGACTGTTGTCACACCGCAAAGCAATTCTCCATGTCTCTTGTGATCTTTCCTGGCTTCACCTCACCTCTATCACCCAGTTCTCCCCCTACAAACAGTTGCATTCTCTTACCTGTGTTCAAGTCCACACCCACAAGTTGACCTGAATTTGAATGTTCCGCTTGAACTTTAACCAGTGTTTCCTGAAGGTCAAAACCAGAATTCTGAGCAAGAACCTAAAGCAAGCAAATTTAATCCTTTAAAAGACAGGACCTAAAAATTGATAGTCAAGTGTACAATAAATGAACAGAATTTCCAATAAATAATAAAAAAATCACAATATTGATCATAGTTTAACTTAAACAAAAAGCAAGCTTGTACTCGATCATAACCCTTATACTGCAAACCTTCTTAAAATAGTCGTATCTCTTACCATCTGAAACAGATATTCAGGTTTTCCTTCCAGAGGAATCAAATACATTTGGATGATGAGAGATGCCTGTTCTCGTGTTAGGGAAAAAACTGATCAAACTTGTTTATTCAAAACCACATTATCAAAAGGCTTTTGCATTCATCAGCTGGATCATTTTGGTATTATTTTATAAATTGACTGTTAAAGTAGTCATACCTTGGGAATAATGAGCAATGCATCAGCAAATGCTTGAACTCCAAGTTGAGCCCTGCCCTTTACACTGGGCTTGTATTTAATCAGGGCTTCTGCCATCGCCACTTCCACTGCACCAGCACCTGGAACTACACAGCCTGTTGTGTGGGGAAGAGAGAAATGCTAAACTACAAAGAAAACTGTAGAATTATAAGAAAACATATAAATTAAAACACACACAAATGAAAGCTATTAATTTCTTGAGAATTCAGTATAACCACAGCAATTTTGATATTGCATTTGAAAGCAATGCAGGCATCATTATCAAACAGCAGAATGACTCAATTTAACTAGCACTTGGAGGGTATTAACTCATTTATTTGTATCCACTTTTAACATTATGCTATGAAAAAGCTTGGCATACCATCATAGCCACTTTAAAGGGAACACTTTATTTTTGCATGGTGTCTGGCTGTGTAAGCTACTGATAAAAAGAACACAGTATTCAGCCATGCCTTTCAAACTGGCAAAAAGAATAGTTTAAATACAATGAGGATCTTACCATCATCAAGAGCATTTTTAACAGCCCTCAAGCCATCTCTTATTGCATCTTTGATTTGAGTGAGTGTGTGCTTATTTGGTCCTTTGATCAATAACGTGACAGAGCGAGGATTATTACATTTCTCAATAAAGGTGAACTTCTCTTCTCCCTATGTAAAGTGGTATTTTCAAAAACAAGATATGGTTGTACAAAGAATGATCAGAGGAGAAATTGTAAGTAGCATATTAATAGGAAACGCTGATCACATTAAAGCAAATTATTACTTTAAAAAAAAAATCACATAAAATTGAGTTTCCCTTCAAATGCATATAATTAGTATACATAAAGCATCACAACGTGTGTAAAAAAAGCCAAAATCTGATGACGAGTTTGAATGAGTTTTTACTACTGAAGAATTCACAAACCTAAAAGGATTATCTTTGAAAAGAAAATACACTTACCAATGTATACTCATAGACAAGTCCTGCATGTCCCAAGCAATCTGGATTTAGGTCATCAAAAGAATTCAGAGCTACTCCACCACAAGCAAGAGTCAGCCTGAAATATTGAAGTATTTTAAGATATGCAAATGACTTTAATGTTAGTTACGTTTTCAAGAAAAAATGCAAAATTTTTAGAAGTCTTTCAGAATTAAACATTAAAATTATACTCTAAAATGTATTTTAACTTAAGCGTTTCAATTTACCACCAACCAGCTTAAAACAGGTCTTTTCTCCTGTCTTCATTTAAAATCCTCTCTTGAGTAAGCAAATACTCCTGACATGAAATCTAAAGGTGGATAAGAGCTCTTCATCATGGTTAGCTTATTGGATTTCTGAGAAACTCCTTGATGCTGTCTCTTGACGTGGAAAAATATGCACAAGGTGGATCAGACAATACAGTGAATAAGAAAAAAATTTATTCCAGTAAAAGATACATTGCCATTAATCCCCCTCAAAATACTCCCTTTCACTTCAAATACACTTATCCCATCATTCTTGACACTTGCTGAAGCAGTTCTATAAGTCCTTTTGTCTTTAGTTGTGCTTGTCATGGCTGTCTGGATATCCTGAATCAATTCAAAATGTTTACCTTTCATGGGCTTTTTGACTTTGGGAAAGAGCCAGAAATCACATGGTGCCAGATCCAGTGAGTAAGGTAGATAAAGACACACCATGGTTTGTTTTTTTTAAATTTTATTGGGGAATCAGGGAAGGGGAACAGACAAGTTGCTGTCCTTTTCTTCAGTCTAGTTGTGGAGGATGTTGCTTCACTGGCCCATGTCGGTATTATCATTGCGCTCTTCCCGGGTGAGGCAATCAGTTGCTGGCCACTGGACGGCCACTCACGCCAGCTGCCAGCCACTCACACTGGCTGCCAGCCACTCATGGTAGCTCTTGGCAGCCCACTGCAGCCTATGCCATCGCTGGTATCTGGCAGCCCGGCTCCAGGCCGAGCTATTGTTCACCATCTTAGCTGTACAGGGTGCAGGGTCACTGACCCTCCTGTGGGATCCAAACCGCGGCCCTGCTGCTCAGAGCCGGCACTCCCAAGCCAACTCTTAACCGATGCATCACATGGCCAGCCCCCATGTTTTTATTTGACAGAAATTGCTGTATACCAGAAGTGATGTGTGACACGGAGGCTTTCCATTATCACAAAATACAGTGAATGCTTCTGCCGAGTGCTATCCAATGGAATGGCGGGCTCTTCAATACAGGAAGCAGAGCATTTAACCTTAGTAACAGTGTGTGACAAGTTTCAACTTGTTCAGTGCAGTCAGTCGGGTGTGAGCTACAGCTGAAAGGTGTTTCAAGTGTGCTATAAATCCTCCTCCATCATGACATCGCTCTGTGTCACACACATCACTTCTGGTATGACAATTTCTGTCAAATAAAAACATTATGGTGTGTCCTCATCCACTTTATTCCCTGCATCTGGCACCGTGCAACTTCTGGCTCTTCCCCAAAGTCAAAATGACTCAGGATAGCGAGGCAACTATGACAAGTGCAATTAAAGACACTCATAAAAAAGGACTTCCAAACTGCTTCAGAAAGTGGCAAGAAGGATGGGATAAGTGTGTTCAAAGCAAGGCGGAGTATTCTGAGGGGGATTAATGGCAGTGTGTCTTTTACTGTAATAAGATTTTTCAAAACATACACCGTATTCTTTGATCGCACCTTGTATAATGTGTCATGGTTTAAAAATAAAACAAGTATACACTAATGTTCACAGCATTCATTACTCATAGTAGCCAAAACAGAAATCTAAATAAATGTCCGTCGATATATGGATAAACAAGGATGTGATATATCCATATAACAGAGTATTATTATTCATCCTTAAAAAGAAATGAAATTCTGATCCATGCTACAACATGGATGAACTTTGAAAACATTATGCTAAGTGAAATAAGCCAAACACAAAAGGACAAATATTGTGTGATTCCCTTATATGAGGTATCAGATTCAGAGACAGAAAGTAGAATAGTATTTATGGGGGATGGGTGGGGGCAGAAATGGGAAGTTATCCTTTAATGGGTAGTTTCAGTTTGTGATGATGAAGAAGTTCTAGAATTGGATAATGGTGATGATTGCACAACAATGTGAATCTAAATGCCACTGAATTTTACAGTTCAAAAAAATGGGTAAAATGGTAAATTTTATATTATGTATATTTCATCACAATAAAAAGGAAAATGCAAACATAAGAGGGGGGGAGAAAGGAACAATCTCAGTTATCTTGCACAAATTCACAGCGCTCAGATAACCTCCTCTCCATACCTTTCCATATTTCTCCTTTTAGCTCTGCGTAGAGCTACTATGCCTTCTTTTGCAAGAGCATCTAAGGAAAATGGGTCAATTCCCTGTAACAGGAATAAAAATGAGTTTCAATATATTTCACCTTAAAAAAATAAAAATGGTTAGACTAGTTTATAAAGCAAAATTCACTCACCTTTTGATTAATAACAACAAATCCTTTATCTGAGTCACCACAGACTTTCTTTTTCAGTTCTATTATTTTTTTAACTCTATCTTCAATGAATTTTCTTTCAGCTTTTACAAGTTTCTCTCTTTCTTCTGCACTCTTGTAAAAAAAGCCAGAATTCACTTCT